ACACACACACACACACCTTTGTGAAAAGGCGAATATTGCAGCCAACTGGCAGTCAGTCAGTTGCATATTCAGAGAGGATAAATAATTCAAATCACAGAGCTGCACAAAGATATACATTGTTAATGGGATTTTAAATTCCATCGGCCTGCTTCGTTTAGGACATTTAAGTGAATAGAAGGACATGGAAGTAGCCACACTTAACCAGAGGACTGTGGTCACCCACTTACATAGTTGGCGGCCCAGAGGGCTTTGAGTTTGAGGTACCACTGCAGGCGGTTACCGAGGCTGCTCTCAAACTCTGCTGCCAGGTTGGTCATGCGTTCATACTCTGTATCATCCATCAGCGGACGCACTGATTCCAGATACTAAACACAAGAGATGTGCAAAAAAATTTAACTGAGCATGCATCATTCAGCAGAAACAAAATGGCCAACAGAATGACATGGTCTACTGAACACAAGAACACAGAAAAAGAACCGCAAATCAATGAATCAACATACATTATAACCACATATCATTTTGCTGATTCTCTCATCTGTCAAATATGTATCAATTTCAAAGGGTAGATATGTTGCATTTTATACATTTCTCAATTATCTTGCACCCAGATTAAAAAAAACTCCATAACCAAAAGAAATTTGGTGCAACAAAATGATGAAAGTGAGAAAGAGATCCATCTGTTTCATGGTCAGTAATCAGCGTGTTGTTATTTCCTCTGCTTCATGTGACGTCTCACCCTCTTGACTGTGTCCTTGATGGGAGGCAAAGGCAGGTTTGGCAGCGAACCCTGGTAGCTGTAGAGCAGAGGCTTTCTGCCAGAAAAGATCCGCACCAGCGCCTGGCAGAGAAACACAAGCATTCAGAAAACAAAACACACTCAAAATACTAAAGTGAGGACACACCTACGGCTAATTATTTTTTCTTCAAGCGGTTTTGCGGGATATTATAAATCATAAAAATCACATAAAATTAGGTGATTTTAACCCTATATAAAATACTGTTTTCTTGTATGTAAAGACATAAAAAGTATTTTGCTCCTCTTAAAAAAACAAATATGATGAGCTTCAGATTTCCCTACACTTCATTAATTGTTGTAATTTTAACAACACTATATAAAAGTGTCAATATTCAGTGACGTCTCACTCACAGAACTGGGGACAGTGAAAGGTGTGATATGGTTCGTTTACAGTTACAAGTGAAAAAGGAAGGTGTGAAACAACACTGACCACCCAGACTTTGGTGGTGTTGGACATCTTGCCGTGCTGCTCGAACATCCAGCGGTGGTAAGAGAGGAGCTGCTTGAGGCACAGGCGCATGGTGAAGATGAGCAAGAGCCATAGCATGGTGCTGAAGAGCACCGCCGACACCAACGCCTGGCACTGGGTACTCATAGACTGACTGGGAATGGTGGGAGAAGATGGACAGATGGGTGAGGGGGAAAGAGGGAGAAAAAAGACAAGTGAATGCAACAAATAAATCAAACCACAAATAAGGATAGATGGGAAGAGAAACAACAAATATGTATCTAAATTACAACAGCTAGCTGTCTCATAATAGTAATATCAAGCTTAAGAAACTAATTAATCTGTTTTACCCAATCAGGGCTGTGGGCAATAACCCCTCCCTTTAAAAGTAAATGCAAAATCGGGTTTAAATAGAGAACAAAAAGGAGAAAGGGGGGAGCAGAGATGAGACAAAAAGAAACATAAGATATTACAGAAGACTTTGAAAAAGGAAGAATGGGAAGGTTAAGGGTTATTTAAACCACATATACTGTACACCCATCTCTCTGTGATACAACGTACAATCAGGGAAAGGGAGCATTTCAGGCCGATGGGTGTCTGGTGAATCAGAAGATTAATCATTAACTTTAACCATTTCATGGAGTCACGAGATGTGTTACCTGACTGGCAGGTGCTCCTGTATCTTGGCTATGAGTCCCATGGAGGGGTCGGAGCGAGTGTACATAGTAGCCAGGATTGCTATGACCACAAAAAGCCAGGAGGACGGACTAGCAGGATATACCCCTGTTATCACACTGTTCTGTTAATGTGAGAGAAGAGAGATTGATTTGAAATCCCATTCTTCCTGTTTACAATCAGTACACGGGCATGCACACTGGTAACGGAGTTCGGACCAGATTAAGGGAATACATGTCACTGTGACTGCATTTAGCTCAGTGTCAGACATTAGCCTGATTTACACAACAAATTACCCAGAATTCAAAAGGCTTTTGCAGCAGGTCCATGTGCGACTTGGTATGAAATGCTCACAAATCAAACATCAGTTTAATTATCTAATCTAACTTATTCACATTGCTTTTGACAATGGATGAGTGATGGAAGTGAGGATCAAACAAAGACATGAGGATACCCACACACAGAGAGTGCGTCATAATGTGTGGCAGTCATTATTGATTCCAGTCCACACATTATGACTGCAAAAAACTCACTGAGAGCGAGCTCTCTTTTTCAGAAGCACCCCGTATACAGCGTTAAACAAAAAACTAAACAGAACACTTCACATTAAGAATTATACACGATATAAAGGGCAGCAGTTCAAAGACCATACTTGCTAACATTTGAGACAACGACAAAATAAAACTGTTGCATTCAGTGTGTGACAGTGTTTCAGAATTTCATTACAAGTGTCCCAAGTTCAAGTTTATTCTGTTTATTCTTGCAGAGTAACAAGGGATAGACCTGCAAATTGAGAATAAGCAGAAAACGGACAGGGACAAGATGAAACTTGAAAGATTCCTCAACACTGAACAAGTGCTGCCACGCAGAGAGAAGGAAGAAGAGGCACGTCACTGTGATTATTACACACAGACACAGGCTGAGAATGAACCAACTAAACAGACATGGAGATACCTTGAGTCTAATGATACGCTTCTTCCAGGAGCGCACACCAGAGAGGTAGATCTCAGTGAGAGCCTGGTGGGACAGCTGCAGATCAATGCCCTCCGGAGTGACAGTGAACTGGAAGGCCACCGCCTGGTGGGCTTCTGCCATGATTGCTGCGCATGATGGAAGGAACAGAAGGGGAGAGAAAGATGAAAGGAAGACGAGAGAGACAAAAAACAAACAAACTGTCAACCGTCAAATTTAATTGTCAGCCAACAACTATCAACTTAAATATTCTGCCAACAACCTGAAAGGGAAGAGGGAATGTCGCACCTTTAAAGTGTTAAACTTCAAACACTACACAATAAACACGGGGAAACTACCGACCTCAGGTGAAAATGGAAATCATGTACACATACTGGCATTCTTGAGTGGCTAAAATTTGCTCATATTTAAAAGCAGTCCAGTACAAACGTGTTTAAATGTCTGGTGTGGATAATTGGAAACATGAAAATACATTATTTCGTCCAACTGTCTTTCAGGTTTAACGTAATATTCTCCTTAAAGAAGCATTTCACCCGTGGAAACATTCATCTTTATTGAAAGTGGGTTATATATGTAGTCCAAATGTAACATACATTTTGAATTTGGTGCCT